TTGGGCCAGATTGTAGCAAATAAGAAGAAAATAAAATAGGAAAAATTACTCATTACTCATTAATTTGTCCAACTCATTCATAAATAAATGAGTTAGATACCTATATTAATTAATATGGGTTCTAAATGGATTGGGTAATATGATTCATTTTAATTAAGCCGGTTAATATGGATTACAAATGGATACCCATTGGGTTAAGTATATATCTTTTTATTAAATAGCACAAATAATAAAATTAAATAAATCTATTAATATACCAAAAAATATACACAATATTATCCCAAAAAATATACACTAATACACTAAAATATAAATACACTAATACACCAAAAACACACACTAATCCACCACTCATGACCCACTAGTTGACCCATGGTGACCCAGGGCCCATGGGTCAACACATGGATTAACCCACGACCCACAACTAACTCATAGCTCACAATTGACCCCGACTTATTATATGTGTATTTTTTTTATTAAATATGTTTTAGTTTTTGTGTTAGTATATGTGTGTGTATTTTTAGTGTATTAGTGTGTATATTTTTAGTGTATTAGTTTTTATTTGTTTTGGTGTGTGTGTGTATGTTTACATTTTGATGTACTACTAATGTGTGTGTGTGTGTGTTTTGGTATACTAATGTGTCTATTAAAAATTTTAATTATTTTATGGATTAATCAGTTTAACTCAACCCGTTATAAACCTAACCCATTAAAACCTCATTTGCTACGTGAGTGAAAAATGAATTGAATATATTTTAGCCCAATTCAATTTAACCCAACTTGCTCATTTGCCAGCACAAATAAAAATTGGAGTTGAATCATACTTAAGAAATTTTTAATGAGTTTAGTCTACCAAAGAATTTATTTGGGGGTAAGTTTGTTTTTAATCTTACTAATAAATAGTTAAGTCCATTATTTTTTTAAAACTCCAAAACGTCCTTCTAATGACTTAAAAAGCAATCTTCAACATTAAATCAATTTCCTAAATAATCATCCTTAATTCACACTTAATAGAAGATTTTTCATCACTACAATTTCTCTCTATCCTCTCTGTCTCTCATTTTTTTGTTTTTTTGGCTTGAGAAGATTATTGTTAATTTAATATTGAATGTTACTATACATGTTATTAATTTTTTTTCATATTACCATTTTTTTGTTATGCATGTTAATATTTTTTGTTGAACATATTACTATTTTTTTGAAATATCAATATTCAATGTTACCCTTTTTTTTTTATTGACCATGTCACTACTGTTGTTTTTTTTCAAATGTTAATATTCACTATTACTATTTTTTATTTTTAATATTACTATATATATAATATGAGGGATGAAAAAATATGCATACATATTGAAATGAGAGAGAGAATTTTAATATTAGTCAAACTTTTAAAATTTAGGAGTTGTTAGTTTTCAAATTTGTTGTAATTAAATACAATTAATGAGGGTATTTTGGACAATAAAAATCAAAATGGATTTAATATTAAATAAATTTCTTTGATAGACTTATTAACAAATAAATCCACAAAAAAGAACTGGCCTCCAAATTTTTGAACAAAATATATAATTTGGGTATGCTTTTAATGGAGCCCTAAACAGGTTTTGATAGCTTATAATCAGAGCCGACCCTGCCCACGAACAATTACAAGTGCAACTTGGGCGGGTCAACTCGAATTTAACTCTAGCTCAACCCAAAAAAAATATAGGGTTTGAATTACAATTTTTAATACTTGGGTTGGGCCTAAGTTAAAAAATTCTAACCCGAATTAAATTTGAGCAAACCTCAGGTTGTTGGGTTCCACCCGATTATTAAATCGGGTTGAACTCGAATATACATAAATATATAAATATATTTAACTAGGGTTAGTATTTATCTTCACTCTTTAGAGTCCAAACTTTCACTTCACTTCAAGTTTTCATTGTCTTCATCACTCTCAGATCCCTCTCTCACTCATCATTCTTCCCTCTCTTAGCCTCCCTCTCTCAATCGCTACTCGTCTAAGTCGTCTCAGACTCTCTCTCTCACTTGTCACTCTTCCCTCTCTCTTCATCTGCGTCTCGCCCTTCATCTTAGATCACTTGAAAAAATCAGATCTACACTTGAAAAAATCAAATATACATTTCAAAAAATCGACCCGAATTAAGTAAGTCAAGTTCAACCTCATTTTTAACCCAAAAATCAGCTCAAATTAAATAACCCGAATTCAATCCGAGCCCGCCCGAATTAAACTCAGACAGTACTCAAGTTGAATACCTCGAATTGAGGTAGGGTTAGAGTTGAAGATTATACACCTCAAGTAGAACTACAGTTGACCTCTCAACCACCCAACCCCTGAGTTGCACCCCTACGGACAATGGATTCTAGCGTCGAAATAAAGAGCATATGATCTCTCTCTTTCTCTGGTATAACATATGTGTGTGTTTTTGCAAGTAAAGCTCAGTTTAATATGATAAAAAAATGGAAGGATGAAAAATTGGAAGAATAAATAAAGTATTATATTTAATAATGAAAGAAAATAAGAAACATAGAAAAGTGGAGAAAATATTCATTACAACGGTGATATCATGTGGCAAAGTAGCATGGTATTACCAATCAATAATATTAAAACAAATAAATAGATGAACCTCACAAAAATTAATAATTAATCTGTCATGTAAACAAATAACTCTTCATCTTTTTGTCATGTAAGCCCAAGTGGGGTTCACCTTTTTTGTGTTGGGTTTTATTATTGATTAGTGATACCATATCATCAATGGTGACATAGTATCACCGTTGTATTCAATATTTACTCGGAAAAGTAAATAGATAAGTTTTCCTTTCAATTCATCAAAAATCAATCTCTCCAAAATCAAAAAGAAATTTGATGAAAAATTAATTATTTGTACTAAAATGTATCTTATTTGTCTGTATATTTTTTGATATATATACATATATTATATATACATTAATTTCATATATAAATACAATGATAAAATATGTATTTATATTTTTTTTAAAAAATTTAAATTAAAAATTAAAAAAAAAATTCATATTAGCTAGGAGTGAAAATTTTCGACTCAACACGATAATATGACTCGAACTCAACATGAATTTTATGATACAAAGTTAATTATAACTCGACACAAACTCAAAAATAACTTGACACACGAACACAAAATATAAACAACTCATATTCAGTTCAACCGGTTAAACTAAAAATTGACACCATCAACTCGTTTATTTAAAAATAAACATTTTCTCTATTTTCTCGTTTGTATAGTAACACAAAATTAACATGTTTAATTAGTATTATATACATAAATTGTTAATTATTTGTAACTATTTATTAAAAACTTACATAATTATTATATAAAAAAATATTTTTGCTTATTATTATATTTATTATGGTTAATTTTTAGTTTGTAGAAAAAGTATGAAAATAGATTCAATGAAGCAAAAATATAATATTAGTATTAAATTTTTTATTCAAAATTTATGTGGGTCAACACGAACAATAAACAAGTCAACTCTATACGATATGATTAGTTAAATAAATTGAGTTAGGTTTATCTAATGATCGACACGAATCCGTAATGACTCGACACGAACCTGACACGATACGACTCGATTATCATCTCTAATCTTAGCAAGCACAAAAAAAAAATCAATCATTTTTATTTTATATCTATCCTATCAAATACAAAGAAGGAATATGTATTATTGTTACTTTTTTTTTTTAAAAGATAAAAAGTATATCACTTTTACTTTTTATCCGTTCAAACTTCTATCATTTTTACCAAACGAAACATAAGAGATATTCAACTCTCTTAAAACACCTGATTAATTTATCGAGTATATGCAATTTCAGTTCCAATGAACGCTGTAATGTTTGTGTCGCTCTCTTAAAACACCGGATTAATTTATCCAGCATATGCACTCTCAGTTCCAACGAACGCTGTAATGTTTGGGTCAAACACTAGTAACTATTAAGATTTGTAAAGCATGTGATCAAGTTCAATGTAGGTAGGGGGTGTTCATGGGTTGGGTTAGTCTATGGGTCTTATTATTTGGCCTAAAAAAGTAGATTCGAAACCCGATAAGTATGATAGTTGGTCCGCCTGAGATCAAGACTAATATCTTTCAAGAGAAAATTTAGATTTGCCTTCAAACTCATTATTCGACTCAAAACTCAGCCCATGAGCCTGCCCACAAAAACCCATTAAAATTGACCAAAGAGCTCATTTGTCCTTCTACCCAATTATTTGAAAAAAAAGTTAATTATTGAAAGTTCAAAAGTTTGGTGACAACATATGTCGCTAAAAAAAAAAAGTTAGGTTCCTCTCCTATTCATAAATAAAATTTGTCCATTTTAACTTTATTTTTAATTCAAAAATATAATTTATAAAAATATTAAGTTTAAAATTTTTTAAATAAAATTTTTCTACCTAGTGAATAGTGGGTTAGACTGTAAGTAGACTACTCCTACTTGAGATTCGACTCGGCCCATCTGATAACTCGTCCGGATAGGAACTTGGGCATATCCTAGTCAAGTTCGGTTCGAAAAAAATTTCATAGACCTAAGTCGGCTTGGCCTATGAACACCCCTAAATGTAGGACGCAAGATAAAATCCCAAATGAGTAAAACACATGACAAAATCAAGTAATAAACAGTAGTCATTGTCCTCTGTAATACATGGAATTGATAATTTAATTTAATTTTATAGAATATATAAGTTAAAAGAATGATAGACGATGGGAAGTAATAGATTATGTGGAAAATTGAATGAAATGATAGGTGATAGGTTGTTATACATGAGGTGGTATAAATTGAATGAGTCAGTAGTATAACTTGGGAAAAATTTTGGTTGGTGAAAACCTCATTCAGTTTAATGAAGTCAAAATCCTATACGGAAAAGAAAATAGGGAGGGAAATCTTCTACCACCCCTCCCAATTAATCTAATTTCCATAATATATATTTAAGAAATGTTATTTGGATAAAAAATAGACACTTTTTATTGATTCCCTCTATTACACTACCTGATTTTCCATCCGATGGCACATTCTCAAGGGGGCTGTGTTTTTTTAACAAATCTGCGCCGACTTGCTTTAACATGATTCGCGCACAACAAATGTTCACCAGAATATTTATAGCAGTAGTAGCTAGAAAAAGTAAAATGCTTTTATTGGTAATGGTACTACAAAAAAGTAGGATCAAGAGCAAACGTTTGTACTTGCCAATCAGACGAGCATTTACTCTTAAATTTGAAGAATAATCACCGATCCGATTGGCTATCAGTATGCCTAAAAACATGCACCCACTATCCAGGACGACATGTTATTAGGAGTAAATCAGTAAACACTTGTGGCGATTTCACAAGAGATAAAAACTTCAAATTATTTCATAAATCTGGACGAAACAAGATATGTCCCTCTTTAGTTCTAAAGACTCAAATGGTTAATGCTATTAAAGCAATCCGCCACACAATGTTGCATGCAGCCTCCAACTGTTTTTCCCTAAAAGACAAAAGTTACAGCTATGAAATAGGAAAAGAAGCAGTGTATTTTGAGCACATAATTGCTGCCCGAGCCTCTCTCAACACCAAATTGTCAAAACATCACAGTGCTCATTCCCTACAGTTCATCCTGCAGAAGTACAAAGTGAATACAATATTAAAAGATGAGACAGTGATGGTTGATGGTAAACTGCTAAATCCAAGCCACTGGGGTAGAAAGTAGTCTTACTTTCACATCCTTGGTGTCAGCATCATCTTCCTTCGTGGATTCACCTGAATCATCGTCGTCCCCTTCTGCATCATCCTCATCCTCAGCCTGGAAAACAGGTTCCAACTATTAGGTTTCAATCAGATGAACATATATTAGAGTTCTTTAAAGAAAAGTTAGTAGGCTTACATCAGAGTCGATTGGATCATCCTTCGACTCCTGAACACAATTAAATGTAGAGTTAGAAGAAAAAACATACAAGATCAGAATTAATATTCTTCAACAGAAATGCTCAGACAACTGTATAGAACTACCACAGATGAGTATCAATTTTGGCACATTCATAACCAGATAGAAGACACCCCATCTCCCATAAGTGATGTAGGTTTATATATCACTCACTACCGACTCGGGAAGAAAAATAGACAGCAACCTGTGTTAGTACAGAACAGAAAGCTTGAGGTAGGAGCTTTCTGTTTCTCTAGTTTTCTTCATTCAACTAGAAAGCTTATGAATTTAATTGCCAAACATATATTCATCAGTGACAATCCCAAACTCCTCCACTCTAAGTCTCAAAAACAATGCAAATGATCTATCCAATGAGAATCATTCAAAACTGGAAATAAACAAGATGGTACCTCCTCCTCTATTTTCTTTTCAGCCTCATCGAATGCCGCCTTCTCAGCCTGCAAAATCGAAAAAATCTCAAATTCTAACAAAAAAAAAATAATAAATTTAGACAAAAAACTGGATTTGAAGATGCAAAAGCAACATACATCCTTTTGCTTGCCCCATGTTTCTTCAGCCAGCTTCTTGGCATATTCAGGATCATCACAAAGCAAGACATTGTCAAACAGGGTTCCAGATTTCACCTGAAACATAAATATAGTTGCTTAGTTATAGTTACAATCATACAGGAAAGATGCCATATACAAGACGCACAAACAGAATTACCTGCCACAATTCAATGCCTACATACTTCAAATTGGGGAAAACATAGAGATCTGGGTCATCTTTGAAATCTGTATGCAACAGCAAAATCCAGTTAAGAAACTTCGACAAATAATGGTTTTACAAAGCTTAAATGAGGAATGAACAAAAACCTGGGTTGTCAATCATAGATGCCTTCCACTTTCCCTTGTAGTTGGGGTTCTTAATTTTCTGGCCACGAGGAAGACATCAGTCGCTAACCAGTGGTCTCTTACAAGATTAAATAAATCAACATCAATTAAAATTCACAAACCTTAGCCTTCCATGGACCCTTGTACTCAGGGTTTGCAATGGTTGGGGGAGTCCACTCACCATCCTCCTCATCATCCCAGTCTTCTGGCTGAAATTAGAGACAATGATACTCAATAACTACATTTCTATGCAAAAGTTTAATGAAGTACAAATATAGCAAACCAAAAAAGGAACATTAGAATGGCTACCTTCTTTGCATCAGTGTCTGGAATCTCCTTCGGGATGTCATCATAACCCTGTAAAAGGAAGAAACTATTCAGCATTATTCCTATCAATATATTTACAGATGAGATTAAAATTAGGAAAATATGATGCAGATGTAAAATGAATGGTTCATTACCTCTGGCTTCTTATCTTCAGGATCAGGGATGTATTCTTTTTCATCCCAATCTTCAGGCTGTTCTCAAAATTTAGCAAGGTCATTATCATACTCCACAATATAGTTAAACACTGTCAAAACGAAAACTAAGTGCTTATGCTTGAGAAATTACTTTCTTAGCTTCGGGGTCCTTGATTTGTTTGGGTGGAAGAAGATCCCAGTCGGAGTACAAGCTACCAGACTGCTTCTCCACATTGTCAATGAGGATGGTGTAGGTAGCATCAGGGCGGAGGATGAATGTATAAACATGAGTCAGCTGGTCAGTCTCACAAGGTACATCCTTTTTTATCAATTGATTTGTCCCATTGTATGTAAGAATAGCATGGACTTTCTTGGTGCTGTATCCACAAATATCTGGTCCAAACATGATGCTGCAGTTAACCATATCACATACCAAATCAGCAACTTCAACATGATAAAAATTTTGCAGAGACCAAGAAGTCGTAAGAGGATTATATTGTATGACCTGTACGGTGTATCACCACCGAATTTCTTTTGATCAATATCACCACTGAGCAATTTCATGTAGCCACCACCACAATCAAGCTTCTGTTCATGCTTGACAGAAAATTGGAAAACCAAAGTGCTATCTTTGTTGCTGAATTCAGGGAATTCAGCTGATATAGCATAGAATCTGTAGTCTTCACTTGTCTGGATACCTACATCAGATCTCATAATTCAAATTGCTTGTAACCTGAAAAATTACACATTACACCAAAAAAACCTAAAAGAAGGTTTAACTTATCACAAGAATAGAATCGGTCCAGAAAGGTACCTTTATCACTAGGGTCTCCATTCCATTTACCAGAAGTGTAGTTCCACTCCCCGGCAATGTTATCCTCTTTCTTCCACTCCGATTTAACCCATCTACTCTCCCATCCATCTGAAAAAATTAAACAAAACAAATATATCAATATGACATAATGAATGGAAACCATGAAACAAAGAATTCTACCTAGAGGTAAAAACATAATATAACCTCTTTCAACAAAATTAAATCAACTCTAGAGAAATGCCACAGTTCAATGGTACAAGAGAGTTATAGTTTGTGTATAAATTGACATATGTACTTGAGATTTTTCCTCTATTCTGTCTTCCTCTTCTCACGTAATATATACACACATATGCACAGCAAATGTATCCCAAAAGATAATTACAATTAGAATAAGCCACACACGCTATAAAAAAACACCTTCCACCCTGATCGATCATTAAATTTCAACCACCTTCAACTGGGATGGATCCAGGGGTTAGATCTCAGTTGGAGGGGGTAAAATAATTGTTAAGAGTCATTTACAAAATACTATATAATTTTGAGGAATTTTCAACCATTTTGGGGCTGTACAATCATTGACCTTGAGTCCACTCCACAGTGAGTACGAAGCACCATTAAGTTAGCGGAATCTATGCAAGATGTTTACTTAGACAGATCAAAAAGGCTCCAGAACAATGATCAGAGGCACATACATAACGATAAAACGAATCTATGGCTGGACATATAGGATCCAAAAGTTGTACATATTCAAAAGCAAAAAAGAGAACCACAAACACGCGAACAGGCCAAAGAGCGTAACACAAAACAACATGGTTTCAATCCCCAATGTTGATATATACACAGATCTACTACACAGTTGTAATCCCACACATATGAACCCGAAAATCAGATAACTCGCTCAGAACTATTAGATCGATCCCGAAGAGCAACTTAAACTCCGGCTTCTTAACAATTTCAATCAATGCGAAATCAAATTCAACCGAAAATGCGAGAACTGTAGATTAAAATGAAACGCTAAACACGATCCACAAAGAAAGAGAAGAAAAGAGAAGTACCTTCGAAACGCTCTTCGAAAAACACTTTAGCGGAGACGATCGCGAGGAGGGAGAGTGCGATGGCTAGCAACAGAAGATTACTAGGGTTTCTTCTGTGAATCGCCATGGCTGATGTGAGATAGTGAGGCGTGTGCAATGAGAGGCCAGATTAAATAGGCGACCTGCTCTTTGGTTTTTACGCCGGGTTAAGATTTGTTTTGACGTCCGAGCTGGACTGATGGTGATGACGTGGACGAATCAAAACTTGCCATGTCATCCTGAGTGTGATGTGGCTGAAATGGATTGGTGTAATACACGACTTGAGGAAATTACGTGCCAAATGTACGGAATTGGATTGGTTGGAATTACGAGATTAGCCCTCGGAGTCAGGTGACAAATGTGTGAGTCTGTAAGTGCTTTTGCATCATTTGGAAGGGGAGTCTTGAATTCTAAGAAAAGTTTGTCAGGATTGTGTGAAGCATCTAATGTCAATTCTCATTCTTCAGATAAATTTAGTGAAACACTATGAAATTATTTTTTAATATCTGTAATATAATTCAACAAATTAAATTACAAATTAATTTTAACGAATCAATTGGAATCTTTTTATGACGGAATTCAAAATATTCAATACTTGAACATAGATTTTTAATACCCAAAGTGGATTTTAGTAACAATAAGTTAATTTATTATTAAATCAAATAATATTGAGAACAATTCTTGAAATTTATGAAACTCGAATTGAGCTTAAACAACTAGTAGAATCTAGTTCAATTCAAAATTGAATTCAAATTTCAAATCAAATCTTATAATCTCTAAAACCAAATTTAGATTCAAATTCAAATCTGAGATTAATGTATTAAACGAGATTATGCATGGATGGTGGAGAAATTATATCTGTTGCCAAAAATATGAAGACAAGAAAGCTACTGACATATGTAAAAGGTTCATACTTCATAGAATAAGAATTCATGGTAGGTCAAGATTTATGGAAACTGGTACTTAAAGTGGGCCGGCATTCTTAAAAATATTGGATATTCGGATTTAATCTGAATTTGATTCCCAATCAATTTGATCTAATTTTTTATTGATTACCTGAATTTGAATTTGTGATCCAATTTTGCAAGCATCAATATTCGATCCATTTGCAGTCCGATTTGAATTATATTTACACAGGAAAAATCTAATGAAATTGAATTGAAGGTAAGATCTAAGTTAGTTATATAGAATTGATTAAAAAAATTATGAAATTTAAATATATTTAGATAGTATATATATATCATGAAAATGAATTTTGAATTCCAATGGTGGTTGTTCAAATCACATCGGGATATATCAAAATCCGATCCGATCCAATCCAACTTATTTTGGACAGCTAACGAAAAAAACTAAAATGACCGAAATACCCACTTTCCTTCTTCGAATGGCTATCCATTTTTTCTCCGACAAACTCAATCCCATATCTTTCCTCGGTTGTGATAAAATAGGTATGGATATCAATGTCTAAGCTCATATTAAACATATGATCAGCCTAAACAAGAGATCTAAGAACACTTATACTGATCATGGCATAAATCATGCCTAGATGCACGAAGACCTGTTTTCCCAAAAAAGTCTTACTAATAAATAAGACAAATTTTTACAAACTGTTCAAAATCGTCTTTCATGTTAGGCCAATAAAAACTTCAAGAAAGGAGAGCCAAGGTCCGCTGCTAGCCCGGATGCCCTGCGCTTGGGTATCCTGATTGTCACTTACAAGTTTACTGAACAATGAACTAGAATCCCCAATGACAATCAGTATCGAACCAAAATTAAAATAAAATCACAAACCAAAATCAGAATCGAACCGAAGTAGATTTGAAAATTTACCTAAATTGGAGTCAACCCAAAATTGAAGCCAAAAATCAAATTATAATCAAAGTTGGAAATCGAAAAATCAAATGGCCTGAGAAAGAAATTGATTTTGCTATTGATATCCAAAAATTGATGTTGTCATTGATATTCACATAGAAGCTTTGTAAGGAGCTGGGTCCTGTGACTGTAAAAAGGGTAGGTGGATGAAAAACTTTTTTTTTCCTATTTTAACCTTAATCAATTTTTTTAAGTCAATTTTATTCATTGATGCTAGAAACTTGAATAACACATGATCATGCACTTAATGCATCACCCTTGATTAATACTCTTTACAATTATAACATCATTTAATATTTTAGGAGACAAAATGTCAAATATGGTAGACATTATTTGTAATTAACGTTTTGCTTCTATAACTATGAATCTTTAGTTAAAAGCTTACTTGACTTCTAGCAATTCCAATATTTAATTTTATGGACTTATTGCATTCTATCTCTTTGCAACTTTTCAATTTTTGTGTCAATTAGATTCTCACTACTCCGTAATTTTGAGTGTCAATTTTACCCTAATTAATATCATTGTGTCCTTTGATCTTTTTTTGATATGACCGTACATAGACAATGAACTCTAATGCAACACACACCTCTATTTTTTGGTCTTCCACCATCATATAATTAACTTTAAACTCGTAGTCTTCTATCATCAATTTGTTTCGGCACCATTGTCTTCCTTCCACACACAAAGCTAATCACTCACCGACATTTGTAATTGTTGGCTTTGGGATACATTTTTAACTTGGATTGTCATTGTTTCTGATTTGAAGCTTTTTTTGTTTGCTAAGTATATGCTGGGAACAATTGAAGATAGGAGAAATGATTTTACTAACTGTTGAATGTTTATTCTGTTTCTTCCTGGAACGGGCGTGGGTCGATCTTCATTCAAAATAGAGATTATTGTGTGTCTAATCTAACTCTTGAACTTAATCGTCACAAGTCTTTAATGGTTTTTATATCCTTTTTTCTAGGAAATACATTACACATAACCTTGCAAATAAACTAATCTATTCATGAAGAGATTTGGATCAATCTAGATATATATATAAGATCTACACACATAAAGCCATTATTGTAGAAATAATACGGATAAAATACAACAAATACATGTTAAAATTATAGCTCAATGTAATCTATGTATAACATACGTGGCGACAATTAGTCATTGCAACGAGGAGCTGGGTGCCATGACTCTTGACGTAAAGAGGAGGTGGGATGGTGGTGGTTGATCAACGGCCACAAGAGATGGGTGGTGTCGGTCACCTTGCCTGTTAACCAAGAGGTGGGTGCCCCGTGGTAGGTTTTGAAGAGAGAGAGAGAGAGAGAGAGAGATGGGCTTGCAAAGAGACAGTGAGAGAGAAGCCGGGGGCTTTGAGAAATAAAAGTGGAGAAGATAGAGGTTGAGGACCTTTTTGTTTTTTTTTTAACATGCTTCTTTTTTGCCAAATTATAAATTGGGCGCATGTCTTTTACGAACCGTAACGTTAGATGAAAAATGTGACAGTACATTTTATTTTATTAATCATGAGAGGGTAATGTGTCATTTTAAAAGGTCAGAGAGGTGATCTATAAATGAGTATAACCCCAAGGAACTAAAGCGAAGTTTGCACTTCGAAGAATCTTGGGTTTTCCACTTAGAGAGACCGAGCCCCTCTTGCAGAAGCGACATGGCCTCGTGCCCTTTGGAAGAAAGCATGCATATTTATTCTTTTCACTTTTCTTATCTGCCAAGAGAAAAGAGGGGAAAAAAGGCATGATTATGCGAATATTACCTCTCCATCCAATGCACCCCACTAATGGAAAATTTATACTTCGACCCCTTCTTCTATACTTCTTGTCTTTCATTATCCCCTAACATATTATGTTTTCTCGTATTATCATCTTAGTCAAGGGCAAAGCTGGAAATATACACGAGGAAGGATAAAATATAACTAAAAAAAATTCACTAGTTGATTCAAAAAAATTAAGTGCAAGAATGACAATAATTAAGATCCAAGACAAAAAAATTATATGAATATTTTAAGTTATTTCAAATTTGCAATTTTTCTAAAAGATCGATAAAGATCTCTCAAATAGATTTACAACTAATTGAAGAAGAGCAATGGTATAGGGACCTTATTTAGGTCCAAATAGCATTTTTCATTGAAGAATGATTTTACTACGGGTTTGTAATTGAGTTCATTGCTAGGAAATTAATGAGAAATTAACTTACAATTACTTTTTTTCTTTGAAGGAAAACTTACAACTAATTAATTACATAAAATTTTAGAGATTTTAAAGAACGTTGTATTTTACTGAAAATATATGATTTTGTTAAAATGTACTAAAACAAGTGCCTTTTTGGTTAGACAAAACAATCTAATTGTGTATTTATTGGGTTTGAAACTATTAAATGCATATTGAAAGTCCAACCATAATCAAGAGCTCAAATTTATCAAGACTCGGCAGGTCCAATGAGGCCCAGGCCTAGTAAAACTCATTAGCTTGACTACGACATCAAGAGAGCATCTGAGAGTTTCACCATCACGGTCTTAGAAATAGTCAACTCTCACCTCATCTTTGACAGAATCTCAAGGAGAGCACTTCAACCACCTTGCCCGTTGAGAAGAAGTCGTGAGCTCCACCAGAATAGTTATTTAGTTGCTATTAAGGACTTCACACGCAACTGAGCACAATTCTCTTCTCCCTCTCTAAGCTTGTAACTCTCTGCTCTCCTTACACTTGAGTTAATAAAATACCCAGCGACTCTAACTATTCAAAAGTGAACGTAGGTCACGTTGACCGAACTACTATAATTTTTGTCTTCTCTATTTACTGATTAATTACTGCATTTATTACTGACACTTGAAAGGTGGTGTGCAAAGTCAATTTGTGCATCATCAATAACAATTACATAATTTTTTTAAAAAAGTAGAGAATATTATGTTAGATAAAGAGAGTATTATCTTTTGCTCAATATACAAATATATCAAGATAATTACATCTAATTTGCTCAACTCAAAAATAAACATATATTTTAGAGGGTAAATGGTTCACTAATTTACTATTAAAAAAAAGATTAGAACTATAATGAAAATTTATAAAAATTTAGGGGACAACTATAATATATTGAGTAACACTATGAGTCCTCATCAAAGGTGATCAATGGCAACTGCCCACCCTTGACCCGCAAATTTGTGTCCATTTTCCTATAAATTATGTGATTTTTTGTTTGAAAACCTGACTATTTGATCGAACAATTTACTTA